GCCTAGAAAAAGTGCAAAAGAGGGCATGCAAGATTATTCTCTCCCCTTCCTACTCCACATATCAAGAAGCGCTCAACACACTGACCCTTTCGACTCTCACTGACCATCACCACGACCTCATCTGCAAATTTGGTAAGAAGCTTCTACACCATCCCCGACACCGGCTCCTACTACCACCTGAGATCCCTTGTCCGAGAATTGCTGTTCGACACCACAACCGCATCCAGCCCATACGTGCACGAACTGATCGCTATAAGAACAGCCCAGTCCCAACCATTGTAAAGATTATCAATAACTTGTAATAAATCAGTGTATTCACTCCCAGTAAACACTGCTCCTTACACTGTCACTATGTTGAAATGAACTGTAGTTTGAGCTTTTCCCCATCTAGTTATTATATGTCTTATTTGTGTCACTTATGTTACTTGTATATTATTTGTAATTCGTAACCCATTCCCCAAATATGTAACTGTATATTTTCAGCCTTCTGGCTGCCAAGCTCTTTCAATAAACCGTTAATTATTATTATTATTAATTATTATTATTACAGAATGGATATAGAATCCTTGGAAAGAATTCAGAGGAGAATGACAAGACTAATCCCGGGCATTAGGAACCTTGAGTATAGAGACAGGTTAAAGCATCTTAATTTGCACTCCCTTGAGAGACGTAGAGCGAGGGGCGACCTGATAGAGGTGTATAAGTGGAAGGCAGGGCTAAACAAAGGGGACATTACAAAGGTACTCAAATTATCCAACCAGGAGCGAACTCGTAACAATGGTTTTAAATTAGACAAATTTAGATTTAGGCGTGAAATAGGTAAACACTGGTTTGGAAACAGAGTAGTGGATGAATGGAACAAGTTACCAAATATCATCATTAACTCGAATACACTGAATTGCTTCAAACATAGGTTGGATGCTCATATGAGCAATAGGGGTTGGGTGTAAACGGGACTCCCCAGTATGGGCCAATAGGCCCGCTGCAGTTTCCTCCATTCTTATGTTCTTATGTTCTTATGTTCTTAAATTGATATTGGTGGATTGTGGTTCATACTTCAGAGAAGTTGTTATTATGTCGATTATGCAATTTCTGGTATCGGCCCACATCACTAGCAACGCTAAATATTTGATATGGAGTAAAAAATTAGAGCATAGCATAAGGGCACTGAACAACCTTAAACTTTTTTACAAAAGATTATTTTCAAAATCCACCAATACCCATTCTGATTGTTCTTGGAAACAATTTCAGGAAGAGTGTCAATTGGAAAGCAAAGTGACCTCAGTTAGGAAAATATTGAAGACAAATTTTCCACTAAAACGATATCCTCATATCAAAAAGTTTATTGAAAACATACTCGGGAAATCGTTAGGACATGATCGCTGGTTCAGCGATCTCATGAGTATCGTCTCTACACTAAGTCTACCTCTAAATAATCTATCGAAGAATCCGATTTATGTTTCGGACGACACTATAGTACATATAATATTGAAATAACTAATTCTTCATGGATCAAGGAAGACAAAGAAGACATACAGTACATTACGTCTGTTTTAAACTATATGACATATATGGTATCCATGACGACAAATTCACAGTTACATTCCCAGAGGATGTAGAGCATTCACTTATTGAATTTTTTATTCGCTGACATATTTCTATTTGAAAAAAAATCCTTCTTCTAGTTCTTGTTCAGTTAGGTTCATATTGAAAAAAATAAGATTCTCATATCAATAGGCATTATTTTAAAAATTTTAGTCATTCTCATATTACAATGAAAAATATAACAAATGTAACGAAAAATGTAAAGTTTTCTGTTGATTGACTGCATTGTGACCTACTTTTTATTATGTAAATGGATATATTGTAATATATAATGGATATATTTTATCTTATTTGTTATTGGGAATAAAGATTTATTATTGAAAATTCTTGATTTATTATATTTGCCATCCCATTTTCCAAGACTGTGGTTTATACACTACACCTCATTTTTTGATAGCATGATAATCGTTCGCTCTCCCGTTATCAAGAGGGGGAGGCGAGAGGACACAAGAATGTTTGTGAATGTACCATCCATTCCCATTCTATGAGAAACAGGCTGACTAATGGTTATTAGGTTAGGTTAGGGAAAAGGGCTAGTAAAAGTGCTTTCAACTCCAAATGCTATCCAATTCTACTTTCTTGGTATTGCCAACCACAGGGGTTTGATACAAACATATTGTGATTATATTGTTTATTGAATATAGGTATTACGTACAGGTATTACGTACAGGTATTACATTGAATACAGTATTGTCGAAAAACAAAATGACAAATAAAGCATAGATGGACAAAAATAAAGCACAACTGTAGTAGCTAGCTAACTGTCAAGCACAAAATATATAGTGTACCTGGATGGGGTTTTATCTATCGCTTTTTAAAACAATTACAAAATACGTTCATGGTACTTTAACCCCTAATAGCTTGACAACAATAGCCAGTCGCTCCTTGTTCCTGAAGAGCTGCATAAAGAGAGACAGTTGGTGTTGAATAAGCTGCTTCTCCTTCTTCAGGGTGATTAACTCCCCCAGAAGCTGTGCCACAGTGGTGTTGGCTTGAGCAGCGGGAGCGATCTGTTGAGGAGTTATGCAGAATATGCGGAACCTCTTGTTCACCGGCTCCTCTAAGCCACTTTTCTCGGGGCCCGGTAGTGATCGCTTACGGGAGGCTGTGGTAGACGCAGCAACACCTATATTTTCACAGAATTTGAGGACCTCATACTGTATTCCCTCAGCATCTCCTCCCAGCTTATTCTTTACACTAGTCTGGTTCTCTTGGAAGTTGGCCTTAGAGGTCTTGGATACAGCGAGAACAGGGGAGTAGAATCGTTGATACGGGCATGGAGGCGGCCAGAGTAGATATCCTAGCCTGATCGAGACAGACCGGTTCGGCCGACCTGTTTAAGCCACTACCCGGAACACGCACAAGAGATCTAACCAGATCACCTGTGTCATGTGGTGCAACTATAGTTCTGTCTAATCAGTTGCGTGTTCAGCAAAAGTGATGCATTCTCTTTACTTGTCCTAGTTGGTTATGGGTGGTTGGTTTTTGGTTGATGTTCACCTGAAACATAAAGTAGTAATTTGTTTCAAACTGGTTAACTACGTTACCGATAAGGGCAAATGGTTTCAGCCTTAAAAAACAAGAATTTACAGATGCCATTGCTCTAAGGTACGGTTGGCCAGTAGATGGTTTGCCCTCCCAATGCGTGTGTGGCTCTTCCTATGATGGCGATCACGCCATGGTCTGCAAGAAGGGGGGCTTCATATGCATGAGGCATGACGAGGTAAGGGATCTCACAGCAAATATGTTGAAGGAAATCTGCCGGGACGTCATGGTAGAACCGACCCTCCTTCCACTGGATGGCGAGATCTTCCAACACAGGACTTCAAACACATCTAACGTGTGGACGTCAGTGCTCGAGGATTCTGGACGCGGGGACAGCGAGCTTTCTTCGACATCAGGATTTTTGATCCCATGGCCGTTTGTCACCGTAACCTAGCTCTCGATGCTGCGCATAGGAGGAACGAGAACGACAAGAGAAGAGCATATGGGGAGAGAATTCAAAATGTTGATCAAGGCAGCTTCACTCCTCTAGTGTTCACAACCTCTGGTGGGATGGGCCCAAGTGCAAGATGTTTCTACGCCAGACTCGCGGAGCTGATCTCCGAACAGAAGCAGCAGCCCAGAAGTTATGTTACAGCCTGGATGAGATGTCGACTGTCCTTCTCTCTCCTTCGGTCGGCTTTGCTCTGCCTCAGGGGAACGAGAGCTTCTGCCCCTACTCAGACAACTGCTGCAGATATTGACTATGAGGCTACTACAGTCACTGAATGCCGCATAGATCTGCGGCTCAACTAATTTAACACAGATAGGATAGCTTCTTATGTATTAGAATATTTAATATTAAGGTAAATAAATGGTGGCGAAGGTGTGGCTATTGGGGGAGGCTGGAGGCCACGATTTAAGAAAAAAAAAAAAATTGTTTCAAATGTATTATATATATATATATATATATATATATATATATATATATATATATATATATATATATATATATATATATATATATATATATATATATATATATATATACATATATATATATATATGCAAGTAAATCACTGTAGTTGCGAGTGATCCAGGTATATGCTGATAACAACAAGGAAAGAAGAAAACACGAAGTTCCCAAGAGCTTTCGTGTAATTCACATCTTCAGGGGTGAGTACAGACTAAGGAGAAGTACAAATCAAGGTGTATATATACAGAGGAGGGTGAGATCAAGTCCACAATGGTCAGGTATTAGGTAATGACCCTACTAATCTTTAAAAAGCACCGCAACGGTCGGTTGTCAGGTCAGAGGGTAAGGTGACCCAACCTTCTCACCTGGTTACAAATCTTCTTAATTACGCCACGATACATACACAGTACACACGTAACGGCAGACAGACAGCTACATACACAGAAAGACAGACAAGGTTAGTACCTACTTATAGTTACAGCTTGGGGATATGAGCACACACATAGTTAAAACTGCTCTGGACAATTGTCAAGGGGAGGATACAGTGCGTGAACATGTGCGCGCGCAGATCAATTGGAAATGGTTTATGAGCCACTAAATTATTACGCTTCCGGAGGAGGGAGAGGGGGAGTTATGTGTACCGCCGGTGTACATGATAAAACAATATCTCTCCAAATTTTACACTGTTCTTTAAATATGATCCTTTCATAAACCGGCTTAGCCGCTACCCGTTTGATATATGCCTCTAGTCCACTGTAGTCCATTGTTTATACTGTACACTGCAGTGTTGCGCCTCACTTTCCAAGTCTTACGTCTTTAAGAACGAACGTTATAGTCCCCCCCCCCTCCCTATCCCTCTCCCTCATCCTCCCTCCTCTATTTACAATATTTAGTTGGAAAAAAATACATGACTAGTTGCATAAGTTTATTTATACAGGTTGAGATGGATGGGTTTGTTGGGTTATAAATTTGTGTAGGTTTTTATAGTAAATTTGAATCAGGCTTTTCTGGTGGTGAGGGAGGTAATAAATATAATGTACCTTGGCGATTAACGAGTCGATCTTGGTTTTTTTTATCTTGATTGTGGTACTGATGGGTTTTCTGTTATCGGTGATAGTAATGGTTCTTGCAGGTATTCCAAGTAGTCTGATAATACCTTCTCCCACGTCATCGTATTGTAGTATCGATGCAATATCATCGTGTCATATATTTCTTGATATATAAATGAATTGTCATTATCATTGTCGTCTTCAAAAATGTAAGTGAACAATTTATCACTCCATTCCTCAATATATTCTTCAATATTTCCGTCAACTAATTTATCCTGAAACCAATTTTGTAATTTTTCTTTAAAACAGACTGAGAGTTGTCCATTTCTGTGGAGAGGTCCAATCATATAATTCATGAATTTAGATTCACATAGGTTTTTCACATTGTTGTAGATTTTATTATCATCCGGATTTCATTGTAACACGTTAAAAAGCATAACTTCCTTTCCTAGTCACGTACTCTTTTATATTAAATGCCGCTACTTCAGAGATAAGAAATGCATAATAAAAAATATTAGTATTGTTATTCTCCTATTAATGTAGTTTTAATGAAATGGATATTGAAACAAACAAACTAGTGAAACGATATCTTGATAATCTACTGCAAAATAATAAATTTTTACAACACAGGCCAACAGGGCTATTGCAGTCTCCTTATTTTCTTATGTTCTTATGTTATGATACAATGTGGAGACGCTCGTGTCAGTCTCGTAAGAAATGTCCCATGTCCACATCCTTTTGATCCTGGTGCTGTCTGCTGTCCTCATTCTATGGTTTGTTATTCGCCTGTAATTTATGTATATACTTATAATATAAATAGAAAAATAAACTAAAAAAATAATAAATAAATAAAATAAATAAATATTGAAGTGGTAACCGTGGTAACATTATGAGATGTTCTTATTACCACTATGCTATTGTACTATTTCAGATGTTACTAAATGTTAAATAATACTTCATTTAGATAAATGTATAGTATATATCAGGTGCCTCAAAGAGAGCGCAGGTTCTCAACTGGCTCAGCCATGTTAATATTGTTATTATTATCCACTCTGTGTCTGCGTTTTTCTGGCTTAATAAACTGTTTCAATTCAAATACAATTTAATTCAATTCCCCATGAGCTGGTAGGCTCTGTCGAACAAGAGCATATGTAGAGGGCAGCAACTGAAGAGGATATTGCATTTTATCTAACTTGTCAGTTAAGTTGATCGTCAAATATAACTAACGTCTTTTAGTATATTTTTATGAATAATAAATAATAATAATAATAATAATAATAATAATAATAATAATAATAATAATAATAATAAAATAATAATAATAATAAAATATTAATAATAATAGTAATAATAATAATAATAATAATAATAATAATAATAATAATAATAATAATAAAATAATAATAATAATAAAATAATAATAATAGTAATAATAATAATAATAATAAATAATGATGACAATAATAATAATGATAACAATATTAATAATAATAATAATAATAATAATAATAATAATAATAATAATAATAATAATAATAATAATAATAATATATTATTATTACTAGTAATATTATTATTATTATTATTATTATTATTATTATTATTATTATAGTAGTAGTAGTAGTAGTAGAAGTAGAAGGTGCTGTTCAGTATGCCTGGTAACAGAAATTCCTGCGTCTGTGCTAGCCAGAACCAAAACTGCACAAATGGGGAATGTGCGAGAAACAACCGACCATGTGTGGATTGCAGGAAGGGAGACCAGTGTCGGAGCCCACACAGGTGGCCACAGCACCGGATGATATCCTAAATGATAGCAGTGAGTTTACTCAACCCGAAAATGTAGTACTAATAAATGCTGCTCCCTTGGTAGCAGACGTCCACGAGGAGAACGAGAGACAGCCACCTCAGTGGAATGGCATGTCGATGGAAAATGCAGACATATGGGTCAAAGAACCATACTCAGAAATTGTCAAGTGGTCGCCCGCTAACCTATTTGAACCACCCAAGTGTGCGGCCACCAAAGAAATGATTAGGGAGATGACTCGCCTCATGACTGATTACACTCAGGACCGCTTCCTTGCCCCTTTAGCTCTTCAAATACTGGCAATAATACCACATCTATTTTGTCAGAGGACACACACAAAGACTAAGCATAAAGAAAATGTGGCAGCAGTGAAGAGAAGATTGGCAATGTGGCAGACTGGGGCCCTTGTTGATCTCCCGTGTGATGCAAGAACACTGCAGGAGAGACTAAAAATTACGGGTGACGGAAAGCAAAACACCGATGACGTGGCAAGAAAATTTGGAAACAAAATGCGTTTGGGAAAAGTGTCTCTGGCGGTAAGATCTCTCACAGAGGAATCCTCCGGTGGAGTGATGCCAATAAACAGAGAGACATTAAAACTACTGAATGAGAAACATCCCCCCTGCAAGTGAAGATGAAGGCATCAGGGTCGAGGGTGTCTATATCCCACCAAACGCTGTCCTGTTCGAGAAAATAACAGGAGAGATGGTATGGAAAAAGGCACTGAAGACTCGAGGAGCAGCCGGCCCTTCAGGTCTGGATGCAAACGGTTGAAGAGTCATCCTCACCACAAACAAGTTTGGCCCTGTAGCAAGCGATCTCTGCACTGCCATTGCCGTCCTTGCAAGAAAGCTGGCATCCTCTTGCTTCCATCACCTCCAGGCCCTGATAGCCTGCCGCCTTATTCCTCTGGAAAAGAAACCAGGATGTAGGAATATAGGGTGGGGGAAGTGCTGATGTGGATCATCGGAAAATGCATAATGGAGGTGGTAAAGGATGATGTCAGGGCAGCAGCAGGGAACCTACAAGTGTGTGCTGGCCACCAGGCTGGCCGGAGAGGCCGCCATTCACGCCATGAGATTGATATTTGAGCAGGGTGATTGTAAGGCCGTTCTCCTGGTGGATGCTTCCAACGCATTCAACATACTTAACCGCAAAGCTGCACTGCATAACATCAAGATCAAGTGTCCAAGCTTTGCAATGTATGTTGAAAACTCGTATAGGAATCCATCAGACCTCTATATTGTAAACAACAAGGCTCTAGGAGGTGATACCACCTTACAATCAACCGAGGAAACAACACAGGGGGACCCTGTTGCAATGGCAATGTATGGAATTGGCCTATCAGTGCTCCAACAAGAAATGAAATTTGAAACAACTGTGGTCAAAGAAGTGGCATATGCTGATAACCTTACAGGAGCAGGAAAAGTGGAGGGCATCAAAAAGTGGTGGGAGTTGGTAACATAGCGAGGTCCACAAATAGGGTACCACCCAAACGCCATCAAGTCCTTCCTCATTGTGAAGCCAGAACATTATGAACGGGCAATGGAGGTGTTTGGCGGAAGTGAGGTCAAAATAACTAAGGACGGCCAAAGACATCTAGGGGCAGTAATTGGCACTACGGACTTCAAGACCGAGTTCGCAGCTGGAAAGGTGAATGAGTGGGTCAGTGAAAACCAAGCTCTGTATGAGATTGCTAACACAGAGCCACATGCGGCTTTTGCTGCATTCACCCATGGAGTCAAGCATCGTTGGAACTACCTGATGCATACTCTCCTTGATATCGTACCCCTCCTCCACCCTCTGGAAGAAGCTATCTGTGTCAAGTTCATTCTCAATTTGTGAAACACCCTCACTTAATCCCAGCAGAAAGAGCACTTCTTGCACTTCCATCAAGACTGGGAGGGATGGGACTAACCAATCCAGAGGAGATTGCAGCCACCGAACATCAAAATTCACTTAAGCTCACGGCAGCCCTCACGGACCACATAATAGCCCAGAATGCAACAGGGGAGGTGGATACCAGTGAAGCAAACAAGATTCGTAGGTCCATTATGACAGATCGACAGCACTGCCAAAATGATAAGCTGCAGCAACTGTTGTTGCAGGTACCAGAAAATTAAAAAAAAAAAGTAGCTATAGAGCAGGAGGTGGGCGCCTCGAACTGGTTAACTACGTTACCGATAAGGGCAAATGGTTTCGGTCTCAATAAACAAGAATTTACAGATGCCATTGCTCTAAGGTACGGTCAGCCAGTAGAAGGTTTGCCCTCCCAATGCGTGTGTGGCTCTTCCTATGACGTCGATCACGCCATGGTGTGCAAGAAAGGGGGCTTCATATGCATGAGGCATGAGGAGGTAAGGGACCTCACAGCAAATATGTTGAAGGAAATCTGCCGGGATGTCATGGTAGAACCGTCCCTCCTTCCATTGGATGGTGAGACCTTCCAACATAGGACTTCAAACACATCTAACGAAGCCCGTGTTGATATCAGTGCTCGAGGATTCTGGACGCGGGGACAGCTAGCTTTCTTCGACATCAGGATTTTTGATCCCATGGCCGCATGTCACCGTAACCTAGCTCTCGTTGCTGCACACGGGAGGAACGAGAACAACAAGAGAAGGGCATATGGGGAGAGAATTTAAAACGTTGATCAAGGCAGCTTCACTCCTCTAGTGCTCACAACCTCTTGTGGCATGGGACCAGGTGCAAGATGCTTCTACGCCAGACTCGCGTAGGTGATCTCCGAACAGAAGCAGCAGCCCAGAAGTTATGTTACATCCTGGATGAGATGTCGACTGTCTTTCTCCTTCGGTCGGCTTTGCTCTGCCTTAGGGGAACGAGAGCATCTGCTCCAATGCCGACAACTCCTGCAGATATTAACTATGAGGCTACAGTCACTGAATGCCGCATAGATGTGCGGCTCAACTAATTCAACACAGATAGGATAGCTACTTATGTATTAGGATATTTAATTTTAAGGTAATAAAATGGCAGCGAAGGTGTGGCTATTGGGGGAGGCTGGAAGCCTTTAAAAAAAAAAAGTAGTAGTAGTATTCGCCATCTTAACACAGACCAAGACCTTTCCTCATATATGAATACAATTACAAAAACACGTTCTACCAAGACCGAAAGACAGATGAATATTGTTCTGTATACAACTATATAGCAAGATCATAGATATATGCAGTGTAACTCGAGCGTCTGTACTAGGCACTTACGACTAGCATTTTTATGTCAGCTACAGTATTATCTCACGCAACTGTGAGACATGATACAGAGGCCATCTCCCCCCCCGAAAAAGGGAAAGTTGACATAGTTAACTCCCTCAGTGTTTAGTTAAAGACATTGTATATATATATATATATATATATATATATATATATATATATATATATATATATATATATATATTAGCCCAATAAACACGCGGACTTCTACATACAATCAATACCTCAACCCGCCATGATTCGAACCCACGGCCAACGAGCCCATGACTGTGACTGGGGAACGCTAACCGCTGGACCACTAGGATACTAAAAGCAGTCCTAGACTCTGTTATATTTCACACAAAGCCTGTTCAACGAGTTTATGGCGTCGTTAACCTCTAATGTAGAAGTCCGGGTGTTTATTGGGCTAATGAAATATATATGGATCCTCGTGTTTCGAAGCCGGATTTGGTAAAACGTTACTCTGACCAGCTACGTGATACAGGTAGTCCCCATTAGAGGTATAAGCTCGTTGAACAGGCTTTGTGTGAAATTTAACAGAGTCTAGGACTGCTTTTAGTATATTGGTGGTCCAGCGGTTCGCGTTCCTCGGTCAGTCATGGGCTCGTGGGCCGTGGGTTCGAATCCTGGCGGGTTGAGGTGTTGATTGTATGTAGAAGTCCGCGTGTTTATTGGGCTAATGAAATATATATGGATCCTCGTGTTTCGAAGCCGGATTTGGTAAAACGTTACTCTGACCAGCTACGTGATACGGGTAGTCCCCATTAGAGGTTCACGGTGCCATAAGCTCGTTGAACAGGCTTTGTGTGAAATATAACAGAGTCTAGGACTGCTTTTAGTATCCTGGTGGTCCAGCGGTTAGCGTTTCCTGGTCACAGTCATGGGCTCGTGGGCCTTGGGTTCTAATGCTGATAACCACAAGGATAAAGAAAACACGAAGTTCACAAGTGCTTTTGTGTAATTCACATCTTCAGGGGTGAGGAGGGTGAGATCAAGTCCACAGATGTATAGGTAATGACCCTACTAATCTTCACAAAAGCACTGTAGCGGTCGGTAGTCAGGTCAGAGGGAGAGACTGACCCAACCTTCTCACCTGGTTACAAATCTTCTTAATTATAAAATTGTCCAATTTGTACATACCATTACTCAAAATCATGTTAACGGATTCGGTATGTTTAATGAGACTAGATCCGTTAACATAATTAACCGTGTTCATTGAATCTGCAATGTTGTGCAATGTGAAAAAGAACTCAGTCGCTTACTTTTTCATGATTCGTTTTAGAGAACATCACTTAGTTTTTCTGCCACAAAGATGACGCCAGCAATGACAAGTCCCAGGAGGAGGATCAATAGAGGCCCCTGCATGTGTATGATGGTGAGGGCTTTGATGCTGCCGTTGCCAGACTCTTCTTCTATATTCAAATCTCTCCGTTGCTGTTTCTGTTTCAGTTCCTCCCGCTGACTTATGCGACTATCCGTCTCAGCATCAAACAGTATCTCTTTTCTCCAATGTTCATACAGGCCAGCCTGGAAGGTCGCATTCTGGTAATGTAAGTCGCTTATATTATTGAAACGTATTCCTACGTAATTAAGGACAAGGAACATTATCGTTTATTGAGTGAGACAAAAGAACAGAGATCAACAAAGGTAGGGTAAAAGGGAAGATAAACGTTATAGGACAGTGGAACATCTACGTATAACAATACTAAAGCATGGATACCATTGACCGACCGCGCTTATTTACCTCCGTAATGGCCATTATATAGCGATCCAGTGCAGGCTTATACGGGGCGTCGTGGGGTACTGGCCAGGCCGCTGTAGTGTAAATAATGTTCTCCCGTCCAATGTACATCGGAAAAGAGCCATCTAATTGAGTGAAGTGCTGAGCGACGGTCAGTTCTATGTACTGGCGTCCACCAAGGTGTGCTTGTCTGGCAAAGGAAATGGAGGTCATAGAGACAAGGATGTCTGTGGAACAATATAGTTTTTTTATATAGCAACCAAAGTTTTAAAGCTGTCAGTCTACTATTCCTATGACTTTGAGTAAAGAATACGTAGATATAGGAATACAAAACGCAAAACAGAAAAGGGTCAACTGTTATTTGCAGATGACATTCCTCTGATGGGCAATTCAGTAAAAAAGTTGCGGGTGTTAGAGAACGTGTTTAGAAGAATATGTTAAAAAGGAAAACGGATACACTATCACAACATGCGGAAAAAGGGATTTCGGATTCAAGAACATAAAAACAAAATAGAAAAGACAATATTTAGGGGAAAGTAGATGCAAGTAATATGAAATACAGAAATCAAGAGATATGCTAATGAAAGAAAAGTCGCACAGAAAGCTGACCAGTATTTAATAAGGTCCTATGGACATTTGAGTAAATATAAAGTGAAAGATTTGGTAGAATGCAGAAAATAATAGCTCACTTCCTCTTCTGTGAGTCTTGCAGCCCACCAACGATACCGACTCCAAGAGACATCAACTCCCCCAAGGCGTTGAAAACACTTGACTCCGACTCAATAAATAAACCCTTGTAGGAAGATCCCCACGACTCCATTGTCACCCTAAACAAATTTCAGAATAAATGAGTGTGTGGATTAAACATGCAATGATTTTTATTAATAGTTTGTGTACAAATTTTATTACGGGTCAAGAACTACTGTCGTGTAATATTATTAAATCAAAGAATTACATATAATATTTTTGACATTATATAAGGGAGTGGTGTTTAATTAAAGACAGTATCTGCAGTGTTCATATACACTATAATATGGAGGCGGAGAGAGGAATCCTTAGCCGCCGTTTAAAAGTTAAACACAAAACCAGGGATGAAGTTTTGCCCTTGTTACAATAACCACTTGTTAACGTGAGTACCAACTTGTGATCTCACCTGTCCACAGCCTTGACGAGTTGCTCGACAGTCTCAGGTCGGGGTGGATATTTGGGCAGTGTGAGGGAGGCGGTGAGGTTGCAGCGGTAAGCTGTAGCCACGATGAAGGCAAACACCAACCAGGCTGCTACTAACACAGGGTTGGAACGACTGGTGGAAAGTCGCCCAGTGAAGCCCTGGCCTAGCAGTGTCCCCACCACCTCCTGCACCAAAGCTAAGGCTTCCGCACGACCATGACCACTCATCTTTGATCGAGTGACCTAAGGATTATTTTGAATTACAATCATATCTGAAAATAAAATGTTTCCTGAAATGGTGACAACTTTTATTCTGTCATAGCACCATTCAAATTCGTGGTTTATTTCACGAAATTTCTTGTTCTTTTATAATTTCTTAAAAAAATCATACGAAAAAAGACAATTACTGTAATTACGTTTTTAGAAACAAAAATATCTATCTCTTTAGTCATTCGTAATCTTGTGGCCTTCTACCCTCATGCTTCCTAATAGCATATATTGATCAAGATACCAACCAGTTTTATAGAAGTAATATTTATTTCTGTCACAACCTCATATGAACATTCTATTCATCCTGGTTTGTTATGTTTTCATTAGATTTTTTGTAAGACATAAACATCCCAAGTGAGTGCTGACGTAACAATGTGAGACCCTCTAGGTGTAAGTGTACAGTATAGAAAGATCGTAACCATTCACTAAGAAGGCAGTACATAAGGACAAATATCCTCCAGAACAGCACTTGGGAATTTCTACACATATTAATGTCAATTTGAATGGGTTTTCCCATGTAAGAAACTCCTTGTTACTTTGAAAAGGGATAGTAATATCTTACCATGACTAGGACCAGGCATGTCAGGATTAAAGTAACCAGAATGGCGGTCCACACCTCGTTGGCCAGCGGGTAGTATAAACTCTGCCATTGAGGCTTAAGTGTGGGCTTGGCCATACAGAAGCATAGAGGTGAAAAGTCGAAAATATGAGTATAGTCGTACTTTTCTAAGCGGTTGGGAAGGACCACGTAAACAATACTTGCTATGAACGACCTTCTGGCTTCCACTTGGTCGGTCACCTGTAAAGGATTGTCAATGGCTTAAAAATATATAAGAGAAAAAGATAAATTTTCATATATTTTTCATTCATTGCGCGGAGATTAATATTGGTTTTGGTTGTGATTTAAATTTTATTCCTTCTGTCTTTGAATTATGCCACCATTTCCTACATGACATCTATACACAAGTCGCAAAATGCTTCCTCATACTTCGTCTGTCATCACCCTTTCTCTTATCATTTCCCTTCGAGAATGAAATTCAAATGAAGTGATAGTTTAAGGTTCTTAAATTTGATTCGATGTCTTATATTTATTTATATTGATAACTCCCCAAAATATAACATTCAAATAGATTCATCTATTGATTGAACAAAATAAGTTAAGAGAATGAGATGAACTCGGAACTTAAATAAAGAAGATAAACAAAAACCTCTCGTACGTCTACGGGAAAGGGTCGCGGAAAGGGGACGTGATTGCTGCCCGTATCATCATTGGGTATGACTTTGCTTGGGAGATTGGTATCCACGCGTCCCCTGAGCAACGCTCTTGTGCATTATACAGAAGACCCGACAGCAGCACCCTTATCCACTACCTCCTAAGATGTCCCCACACACAACGCTTCAGTGACGCCTGCTGGACCACCACTCCATGCACCCACTTCACACATCGCTCCTGAACTAAGAAGACCTCTCAACAAGACCTCCTGCTGGACCCGGAACTGTGAAGACCGCCCTCTCTCTGGTGCCATTGTTGGCCATCTTCCCGGACCGGACCATCCACCACTGACATCGTCGACAACAACTCACGAGCGTTTTCGGTTTATCGAGCATTAGCTTGCCCTCCCCACTGGTGGTGTGAGAGACCCACACTCCAGCTGGAGAGCAGCTATAGCGCGATATTCCCGACATGGCTTGAGCTCTTTTCCTTTTACTGCTATTTTTCCTTTTTTCGCTCTGGCCTAGGGACCTGCACCCTCAAAAAGTGTATTCGTCCTGCTGTCCCCCCTGTAACTGTTCACCTCCCTCCCAGGAGACTGTGAACACGAAAGGGGGTTGGAGCAAGAACCCATCCCAGCCGAGTCTTTCCAGGAAAACCGTGATCGTGCGGGTCCACCTGGAAACAGGGTAGTAATCCTTATCCTTCCCCAATAGGCACACTTAGCTCACGTCTATAAGTGAGCAGTCACATACACTAGGAAGTAGGTTTCCCCAACGGGGCTCCGGGAGAGAAGCTCAGGAACCACTCTACGACCACCACCCGGCCATCATTGCCTGTGGGGAGTGCTGAAATTCCTCTGCTACTTACTCAAACGTCAGGGTCAGGTAGGTCACAAAAAAAAAAAAAACACCACAACCACGGGTACGGAGTACGCCTCCTGTAAACCGCAAGGACCCCCGCCTGAACTGCCAACGACGACCGCTGAACGTTACAGGCTCCGCGGCACAGAGAAAGCGGACCAGTTACGCGTCTTCAACGAAGCCCTGAAAAGCAGGAACACTGCCACCACCTCCAACAACTCCACCACCACTTGCGCCATAATGAGGATTTATACAACCGGACGAAGATAGAAAACAAAAACGCTCGACGCGCTTTGAAACGAATGCCGCCGCTGTTTCTCCAAAAGGCACCCATCACACCTCACACCAGCTCAACACCTCCAACGACACAGGCTGCCAAAATCGATCTGTGTTGAAAACAGACACAAAACGATATATGCCGCCATCACAGAGAGTGAAAACCAAATCCACTGGCCAAGTTCAGGTGCGGCCTAACCTAAAAGGGGGAGATGATATTCACCAAAGGTGACCTCCGCCACCACCCTCGATACTTACCTGCAAATGCACGCCACCACTCAGATCAACCAAGCTGGACCTCATAGAAATTGATGGAATTTGGTAGAGGCCTTCCGGTACCCAAAGGACTACCCTCGAACCCCTGGGAGAAACCACCCGAAGACTTAAAAGTTTGAGAGATGCCTTCTCCTGTCCGGACAAGCATTTGGCCACCCCACAAAACAAGTGCTAATAACGCACCTCACGGTTCACCCCCAGCACCACCATAGACCTCAAAACCTGGGGGCTCTACAACCTGAGGCCCTGTCCCAGAGCTCTGCAGTGGTAAGCTCAGATGCCAGAAATACGGGCACCACTCCACACAGACAAGGTGCACGTGACATGAAAATTCCTGCGCAGTCTGCGCACAGAAGCACGGCACACACACCCTGCCTCACCAAGCTTGAAAAATGAGAAAAACTGCCCCCAAGTGTGCCAACTGCAGGGGTAAACACCATGCCTGGAACCCCGGATGCCTGAGACAAAGAGGTCCAGGCAAAACTGACCAGCAGCAAGACCATGTCTCTGTACCGCCTGCACACACCGCTCCACCAAGTACCTTCTTCGTGGGGACCCAAAGGCCCAAAAACAACAAAGCCAACCTCCTTAGCCGGTCAACACCCAAAGTGCAGCCCAGTTTCATGCTGGCCTCACCACGGCCACACCTCAGCAATCCAAGCAGCAGACAACGACAAACTACGAAAAAGACAAAGAAGCACACACCAAGGCACCAGGAAGGAATGATAATGTATCAGACTCTACAGGCTACCTTGGGACAATCTTCGCGGAGGGCCCAGCCGGACTACTGGGCCACAAGCTGCAACCCACACAGCTCCAGGTCACTCATGGGAGAGGGTCTCGGCAAAGCCGCCACAGCTCCAGCTACCTCCAGGAGGAAGCCACGCTGGTCCTCACACGAGTGCGATACAGCCGAGGTACACTCTACACCGAAAAAGCGCCACCCAGGAGAACCCCAAGACCGAGCCAGCTTCCAGAAAGAAATTGAACGATTCAATCCCCTGAACCGAACCACGGCCCAGAAAGCAAAACCACAGAAATAAGAAGGGCAAGATATGAACCTGATCCAGTCGGAATCGGATTCTTGAACATTTCATCGAGGACCACCAGAAGTCCCCTTACAGAAACAGGTGGAAAATATCAGCACCCTGGAACATCCTTGCTACGAATGCTCAGTATCATAAAATGGAAACACCTCCTGTAAGAAGTAGCAGCTTGGCGATTACGCTTGACATCATACTGCTACAAGAAACACTTTCTACAAGAACACTGTCAAACCAGTGGTTACAAGACATACAGGAGTACTTCAGCGTCAACAAGAGGGATGTGGCTGGGATCTTATCAAGTCACATACCTCCACCGAGGTCGCATGCAGCAATTTAAGTGTGGGAAAACATCGAGACACAAGCCGTCAAAGTAACCTCCAATAACGGAATTAACTGTTCATAACATCTATAAGAACCCAAGGGGCTCACTTCGAGGTGACTCAATTATTCGCTTCTGCCGCTGACCACGCCACACCTCATAGGAGGGGATTTCAACGCACATCATCCCTTCCTAAGCTCGGTGCTTCTCCCACAAAATGAAGACGGCCTACACCTGTAAACACCACCTTCGGCGACACACCTGAGATCTGCCTCCTGAACACCGGAGAGCCCACCCCAACAATTAGGAGGAAGGCGTATTCCAACCTTCGGCCCCCAGTGCACTACAGCCTTCGGCCTCCTGGCAGCTACACCCCCACGCTGACTAGCACCCACTTAAGCACCCAACAACGCTGAAGGTGAACAAACTCCCCACCCACCAACACCCAAACGCCGAGATGGAGATACAATACCCAAAAGGCAAGACTGTGACTCTTCCCAAGAAACACCTGGCTAAGTGGGCGAAATCACAACCAGCCGGCGCAGCACCCGTGGATTTAGAGACAACCTCCACCAACAATTGGTCGAGGCGTTTCACCAAGCGGCAGAAGAGGCTATATCCCAAAAACAAAACCTACATCAAGACAGTACAATGATTACGGGTACTACTGTCCCAGGGTGAAAGAATTCAACCACAGATGGAACAGGGCCTGAAGAAACTATAGGAGAGACATCCTACGGAAATGCAAACATAGATCTCCTGTAAAGTCATAGTTAAGGATACCAGAAAGAGAAGGAAGAAATAAAAAACGTAAGCTGGCCTCGGGCGTGGTGTCTGAACTGAACGATAGCCAACACCCTCCCTTTGGCAGATGTGGGCCCAGATCCGAAGGGCATCTGGGAAGGCAACACCACCACCACCAACCCATCCCAACCCAGAAGAGGGCCGAGAGACTGCAAAACTGTTCTTGAGAGGGCAGGCGAGAATTCTACCGAGCAACAATAAAAAACCTCCCGAGACATGCAGAGGAGACACAACCGTGTCTGCGACAGACCAGACTCCCGATGATTGAAGAGGCCTGCAATGGTGAAGATGACACCGACAGACCCATCAACCAGCAAGAACTCCAGAAGTTGATAAAACGAAGCAAGGACACAGCGCCAGAGGCCTACAGGATCACCTATTTCATGCTTTCCCATGCCGAAGAAGCTGAGCACGAGGCGTTGGTACAAATCATCAACGTCTCGTGGAAGGCACAGAGACTTCCACCGGAATGGAAGAAGGCAGGTATACAGCCCATTCCAAAGCCCAGAGAACCAGACAAACCAACACCCATCTCCCTCCTCAGCTGCACAGCGAAAACGGGAGAAAGAATGGCTATCAACAGGGTCATGTGGAAAGTCGGTATCACACACTCTCACATATTTGCTTACACCGAGAACACGGGCACAAACAACAACATTGCCGAGATACTCAGCACAGTGGACAACAAACCAGCTTTGGTGGTCTTCCTCGACCTGGAGAAGGCTTTCGAACTAGCAAATCCACTGGCCATTACAACGACGCTCGCTGAAAAAGGCGTCAAAGGAAGGTTGCTGGGGTGGATCCAGAACTACCTCACACAGAGAGAAGCAAGAGTACTCTTTCAGGGGCAACGTCAAGCTAGAGGGCCCATGAAAACGGAACCCCACAATGAGGCATCCTCAGTCCAACGCTGTTCAATGTCTTGATGGAAAATCTAGTCAGACTACCTTTTTAGACAAATAGTCAAGCTCCTCTGCTATGCAGACGACTTA